GCACCTTGTGCTTCCTCAGCACCTCCAGCCAACGTGTACTCGACGGTGAAGTTGTGAAGCATGGTCACTGACCCGTCATCCACCGCCTTGTCCCATGCCAAGCCACGTCCTTCATCGAACACGACGTCGCGCGCCACGCGCATGTGCCATCGCCGGGTCGAGCACACGGTAGGCCTTAGCCCCCTCTGCATAGCCGATAAAGACCCCCGGCGAGCTGCGATCATCGAGCTTGCCAACGTGGTTTAGCTCCTTAACGAAGGTGAGGCAGCCAAAGATGCGTAGATAGCTGACCACCGGCTTGTGCCCGTGCTAGGCCTCATACGACGTCTTGCCATCGAGTGCATAGGTCAGAGAGTGGTTGAGCAGGTGTACGACAGTCATCATGGCCTCTCCCCAGTATACCGCCGGCATGCCGCGCTGTTTGAGGAGCCCGTGCGCCGCTGCCACCACCGTCTGATTGCGACGCTCGACCATGTCGTTCTACTGCGGTGAGTAGGGCATGGAGTAGTGGCGCTGAATCCCCTCGTCGGCATAGAATGTCATGAACTCAGTTGCCCTGAATTCACCGCCGTTGTCCGTGCGAAGCACCAGGAGCTTGCGGCCACACTCCTAATCTGCAGTTGCCTGGTGGCGCTTGATGGCATCCGCAGCTGCTGCCTTGGAATCGAGCAGCACGACCCACATATAGCGGGTGGTGTCGTCGACGAGCAGTAGGAAGTAGCGTCGACCTCTAGGAGTGGCCGGTGACACTAGACCGTAGAGGTCGCCGTACACTAGCTCGAGCTGCTCGATGGCGTGGTAGGAGGCTTGACATGGAAAGGGCCGGTGCTTCAGCTTGGTCACCACACAGGTGTCGTAGAGCTGCTCGACGTGGTTGACGTAGGGCATGCCGTGGACCATCTCCTTCTTGCCAAGCTGCTTCAGGGCTTCGAAGTGAAGGTGCCCGAAGCGCTTGTGCTAGTGCCATGCCTCATCATCCCAGCACGCGGCAAGACAGAGGCGGTGCGCCACCTGTACATGGAGCACATAAAGGCGGTTGCTTCCCCAATTCACCTTGGCGAGAAGACGGCGACCTCTATCCCAAATGCGTAGCACGTCGTCCTCAATCTCCACTCGCGAGCCATTCTCGTCCAGCTGCCCGACGCTGATGATGGAGTTCTTCAAGGCCATGTAGTACACCCCGGTGAGAAGACAGTACTCCCCCATCTTGGCCTTGAAGATGATCGAGCCGACGCCCTTGATCTCAACGGCAGAGGCATCACCGAACTTGATGGAGCCTGTCACGCCGGAGTCCAGGTCGGAGAAGAACTCGTGCCGACCAGTCATGTGGTGTGTCGCACCGGTGTCGAGGTACTAGCCATCGATCTTGTCATCGGCGACACCTTTGTCGAGGAAGGCGTGGGCGCACGGTTCATCGAGGTGGAGCTTGGCGGAGCCAGCTGACCCGAAAAGGGAAAATCTTAGACCTTTCACCCCCTCCCCTGTGTCTTGCTATAGCTCGACGCACCCGTGCACTAGGAACAGGGTGGCATCCTGCTCTTCTGCTTGCGCAACGTGAGCCTGCCCACCGTGGCGTGGAGGAAGGCGACAGTCCTTGGCCTAGTGGCCAGTCCTGCCACAGTTGTTGCAGGTGTCATCCCGGGTCGCCTTGCGCTCGCCGACAACACCGACTTGGCCCCAGGGTCCCTTTGCCTCCTTTCTTCTTGCTGCCATGTGGACGCTGGTGACGCTCCTTGGAGCCATATGAACCGGATCCTTCCTCCTTCTTCTTCTTGTCGAAGGCGCGCCACAGCTCCATCGTGTACATCAGCTTGTCTCCGGCGACGCTCGACTCGGTGTGAGGCCCCTCCTCGCGGTTCTGCACCGCCTTGAGCCTCTCGGACACGTCCTCGATGATGAGCTGCTCGAAGTCGAGGAGCATCTCGATCGACATGATGATCTGCGCGTACTTCCTCGGCATGTAGGGGAGGAATTTCTCTACCGCGCGCTCCCCCGTGAGGTCGGTGTCGTCGTTGTGCGCCATCTGCTCCATCAGATTGGTAAGACGAAGGGCAAATTCCTCGACTTGCTCACCAGGCTGAAAGGTGAGGCCTTCCCACTCCCCTCAAAGGCGCTGCAATGCCGCCCGACACACACGATCTCCGACGATGTGTGCCGTGGCGATCGATTCCCACGCCAGCTTTGCCGTAGCCTTGTTGGCGAGGGAGGCGCCAAGCTCGGTGGGCCCGGCGGCGCACAACGCCTCCAGCGCCCGGCGATCGTCATCGTAGACGCCGCCGCCGACGTGAATCGCCTCCCACGGCCGTCGGGCCTGTAGCTTGACCTTCATCAGCAGGCTCCACTCGTGGTAGTTCGACTTGGTGAGCATCGGCCAAGGCGTTCCCGCTCCAGAGTCATGGTAGACCGTCTGCAGCACCGGGGAGCGGCCGCGCCGACCATGACGCCGCTCTGGTGACGGCGACTGGTGACGGCGCCCGACTGGGCTACGCGATCCTCCATCTGGCACCGGCTCCCGCTCCATCTCGACGCGCAGTGCTGCGGCCGCGGTAGCTGCGGCTTGGGCCGCGGTAGCTGCGGCTTGGGCCACAGCCGCCGCCATAGCCGCTGCCTCTGCGGTATCAAGGCGCGTCGCGCGATCGTCGGCTCTGGCACCCGCGGCGGTGCGCGCTCTCGCGATCTGGCTAGCGGTGGACATGGCGCTTGCTCACTCAAGAACGCTCTCGGCTCCGATACCGAATTGTTGGCCCGATTGGATCTCAGATTCAGATCTAAAACTATCAGAGGGCAGCTTGGCCCTTGGCCGCTTGAATTGAATGGAAAATACAATGGTCTATTTTTACAATGACACTCCTTTGCCCTTTATAGGCAAAGGAGACTCTCATTTGCTACAATATATTTCAACCACTAAAGTGGATGCTGAACATATTTCTAACACTAGGCTTGGAAGCCAAGAAAAATAAAAAATACTAAAAAAATAAGATACAAGTGCTTTAGCACTAGGCTTATCTATCAGTTATCCACCTCTGATGAAAACCCAATTTCAGCATCATCATTTTTAGGAAAGGCCAGCAAACCTATCATAAGCCTTACTCATGTCATGTTTAATGGTAGTCACGCCTGCAGCCCCTTTTCGTTTTGAGTTCAAGTGATGAATTCATATGCTAACAAGACATTACCTGTGATCATTCATCCGGGAACAAAAGCACTTTGAGACGGAGAAATAATTTCTGAGAGCACTGCTTTACGTCCGTTAGCCAAGGACTTTGGAGATGAGCTTATACAACACATTACGAAGGCTAATTGGTCTGAGATCCTTCAGCTTCTCCGGTGATTTGGCCTTGGGGATCAGCACAATGATTCCAGCCTTGAGGCATCTTGCCTCCATTGAGTACAGCAAGAACTTTTGCCTTCACCCGATTTCCCAGGAGAGTCCAGAATCGTTTTTAGAATATTGCGGGCATCCCATCTAGGCCAGGGGCTTTAAAGATCCCCAATGCTCTCTAAAGCGACCAGCACCTCCTCTCCTGTGAACGGAGCTAGTAACATTTCATTCATGTCCTGAGTGACCCTCCTCCGAACACAATCTAGCACTGCATTTTCTTGGACATGATTCCCTGCTTGAGATGAGAAAAGATTTTTGGTATTGGTTAGCCATAAACATCGTAAGGTGCTTTCCTTCCACCACTCCTCCGCTGTCATCAATCTCCTCACATAATTCCTTCTTTTCCTCTCTGAAGCATATGCTGAAAGAATTTAGTGTTCCGGTCCGTTTTTGTCAGCCATGAGGTATGAGCACTTTGCTTCCAGTAAACATGTAGTTGGTCCTGCAAGCGTTCGAGCTTCTACCTCAATATGTTTTCCCGGTTCACTTGTTCCTGACATTTGCTTCTTCTCCTACAATTTTCCAGCTCCCTCTTTACCTTGCCTATCCTCTTCTCTAAATCTCCCAGAACATTCTTGTCCCATCTCCATAGTTCTCCCAGCACCTTTTTTGGATTTCCATCATACTCACCTCTCCCTCCTCTAAAGCTCCCATCCATGCCTCCTCAACTCTCGTGGCACAATCTTCCTCGTCTAACCACCTTACTTCAAATTTGTGCACCACCACCCTTGGTTGCTCACACCATTTGGATTCTCTCTCCAAGACATCCACAATTATTGGGCGATGATCAGAGTGTCGAGGATCCCCATTTTCAACACACACTAGGGAAAAAAGACACCTCCATGCACTGTTTGCCACGGCCCGGTCCAACCTCTCCTTTATGTAACTTGCAACATCACGGTGATGATTCCTCCAAGTGAAAGCATCTCCCACAAAGTGGGGGTCATGTAAATCACAATCCTCCAGAACTTGGCGGAATTTCTCCACACTCCTTTCCGCTCGAGGAGGACCCCCTTCTTTCTCATATAGTTGAATAAAATCTCAGCACAGCCATGGCAATTCATACTTCTCCTTTAGCAGCCGAAGCAGCTCCCATGTGAAGTTGCTCTAAGATGAATCTGATACTCCAGACTTTGAACCTCTACCAAGTGCATATACTACTGCTTGCATACACGAACCCAAGCCTGCTATACGCGACGGACCTACTACTGCAATGGCACTGTGGAAGCTCGTAGTGCTACGCATGCCGTGGGCGCGTGGCCGTAGCAGAGGAGAGCATGTCAACCACTAGCCACTGCCAGGACGACCGCACATCAATCACTCTCTGCCAAGACCAAACGTTAACCAGAGTGGCCGGCCGGTCCCGCTCCATCATCATCATGACTGATGCGCCGGCCGGCCCTGGTGCTGTCGTGGGCCCCGTCGTCGGCTGGCGCATGTCCCGCACCGCACCGGGCCTTTTGACCACCAACCACTCTGCGCTCTGCAGTCCGATGCGCTCGTACGCATCCGCGCATCAATCAGATCAGCTGACGACAAGGAATCCCACCCCACTCTCCCGAGAGCAGCAAGGAAGGCGTGCGCTTTCTTGCAGGCGCCGGAGCCCGCCGCTGCGGCCATGTCCTCCGCCTCGGGCCTCGGCGGGAAGGAGGGGCCCTCCTCCGCCTTCTCCGTGGACCTCGTGGCCGCCGCGCGCCGGCTGCTGGCCTTCCTCCGCGCGGCGCCGGTCGGGGTGGGCCCGCGGTCCGTGCGGAGGTACGAGGAGCTGTGGATGCCGCTCGCGGCGGGGGACTCAGGCGGAGGAGGAGAGGCGGCGATGCTGCTGCCGCCACCCGACGTGCACCTCGTCTGGCTGTGCCACTGCTTCCACCATGTGAGCCTTCTTTAATTTCTTGCCACCTTTTCGGTTCTTTCTTCATTTATTGCCTGAGGGCGTCTTGACTCGGCCACCTTAAAACTCTATTCATTCGGATGCCTCTGTTACTAACTGTGTGGTATGGGATTCCTTGTGGTATACTTTTGAGAATTTACTACATTCATTCAAATCCACGGCACACGGACAGATTTGTGAAAAGACGGCTAAGCACAATGATTATGCCCACAACAATCAGTTTCATCTTCATATTACGTAGTAGTAGCCATATCTTTCTCTGTAACCTCGGGCCATCCTGATCAAAAGTCTTTGCTTTCTTCTTTCTCCTAATATAAATTTAGAAATGTTTAGTTTTTTAACGAGATAGAGAATTTATTGTGAATGAGCAACAAGTTAGGGGGTGTTTGGTTATTTAGTCGCTCCTAAAATTCATGTCACATCGAATGTTTAGATACTAATAAAGAACATTAAATATAGATTAATTACAAAACCAATTACATAGATGGATGCTAATTTGCGAGACGATTTTTTTAAGCCTAATTAATCTGTCGTTAGCACATGTTTACTGTAGCACCACGTTGTCAAATCATGGACTAATTAGGCTTAAAAGATTCGTCTCGTAAATTAGTCGCAAGTTGTGTAATTAGTTTCGTAATTAGTCTATATTTAATACTCCATGCACATGTCTAAACATTCGATGTGATAGGAATTTTAGGAGCGCTTGTAGAAACCAAACAGGGCCTTAGTTAAATTGCAATGGTATACTCCTAGTAGTAGTATAAATTACTGTGCTTACTTTTTTTTTTGAAATAATTAACTTCAAATGAACCCCTTGCTGGACTTAACATTCCACAAGTCAGCTGCTTTTGTGCCTTCAACACTTCTCACCAAGTGCTCCATCTGAAGTTTCTTCGGCTCTGCAGGAGAGCTACTCCGCGTACTGCATTTCAAGGTTTGGACGCCTCATCAACCGTCCATCAATCCTTGATGTGGAGAATGAGGTGTATGCTGAGGACCATTGTCGGGATGTCTGGGCTACTCATTTCCCATCCGAGCCATTTGACCTTGACACTAATGAGATTGATGGAAACAGTGTTGATAACATATCCTGTGACAATGTCAATGGTGAAATTGTCAAAATGGTGAGACGGTACACTGGCATAGCAGACCGCTTTGCGTCACCTTTTGTGTGGGAAGGTGTCTACCATGTTGCTGCTAGGCGGCAATACGTTCGTTTCCTGGACCTTATCAAGAAGGTTGTGTGTGCAACCCAAGAATGCACACGGCTTGTGCCTAGCCTAGACATATTACTGATGTGGCTTGCTCACCAGGTATACATGCATAGACCTTACATTCGATTAAGCAAGTAATTTTGTTCGCAAAAGTATTTTAGTTTACACAATTGTGATGAATCCATGCCAGAGTTTCCCTGTGTGTTATGCCACGGATATGCTAGCGATGGGCATCAGGGACAATGTTGCAAAAGTGGGGGTTGGTTATGGGGAAGTGGTGAGTGATGAGGTGGTAGGGAGGACAAGGGGACTGTGGGAGGACGCATATGATGAACCATATGATATGGCTGGATCAGAGGTTGATGCGGGAGCAGTTAGCGCAGCAAGGGAGGCATTTTACTGGGTGCCAGCAGCATCAGAGGCGGATGCCAACCGGCTATACAAGAGTTTGCAGCCAAGATTTATTATGGAGGTATATCCGAAACCTTCAGAGTATCATTAGCTGTAGTTATTCAGTAGCATTTTTTATTGAATTACACTGCTCAGTAGAGCTGACATTGTAATCATACTTAACCAGTTAACCTTGTGCCAAACTTAGGATATTCCACATTAGCTTGTATGATGTCCTCATGAGGGGCTAGCAAATAGGCAGAATTTTCTATTTGTCTACTGTTATGTTCTATTCATCTCTGCTCCTCAGCAACCTTCCATTTGTTTCTGGACCACATCGTGGCATAATGCCAACAACAGTAAGTAATAACGGCAGCAATAAGTCAAAAAGGCAGTTATAAATTCTACATCCCCATGCACCATGGTCACTCCAAGCCAAAATGCTAGATTCCCTTTGCTAATGGCCTCAAGTGATCGGGTGGTGAGTAGGCCTGCTCAATCATTTGTTTTTGCCAGCATAATCTCTCAAAAAGTCCAACCCCACAATGTTGGGCCTCAAAAAATACTTTTTATTCTTAGTATGCACAACACATAAACAAGTATTGCCCTCTCTCCGAACAAGGTTGAGGAGTCGAGCCTAGGCACGGTGATTCAACTCAGGCCTGAGACTGGAAATATCAGGATAGACTTGGCTGCTCATAAGCATTTTTGTGTATAGAATATAGATAGGTATTTCTACATTCATATGATTCAGATATATTCAAATTATTGAGGACTGCTACTATAACTTTCAATCTGTGGTCCTATTGATCGATATAGAAAATCTAGTCACTCAAGCAATTGATAAGCTTATTTCCAGGTTGAGGCCTTGTATAGTGAATTTATTTAGGTATATTCAAATTATTTCTCTGGTAATCTGGGTCACATATTACAAAAATTAAAAGAAATTTTATATTGACATGACACATGATGTCCTCATATATATTTGTGTGGTTTACATTCTGGCTCAGTGTATCATTGATCTTCTTGGTAGCAGGTATATGTGTTCTTGAAGGGAGAATTTGATAAGGAGCCCACCAGTAAGGAGTTCCTACGATTGCGAACACAGAGGTGTCACAGATCACTAAAACTCAACAAATCGATGTCCAATTTATCCTGCAAAAGCTGGCAGAAAGTATGGCACTTGTATTGTGAATTTGCAACCCGGGGCCTCCTCATTGAGTTCAGGCGTACCCTTAGTGGGTGCTTCAGGAAAAGCAAGTTCCTCAAGAACATCTCATTCTCATGGAGTGATGTGTTGCATGAGAAAGCACTCACTCTCACAGAGGAACTTGATGTCAGGATGAGAGCGATGGCATCAATTACCCCTCCAGTTCAAGCACCATACTTGTTGAAGTGTGTGCCTGATCGAGTCACTGATGATGGTGGGGCCATGATTTCTGATGTCATATTGCGCATGAGAAATTACCGTCCACAAGAAGGACGTTGGTTGACACGCACTGTACTTGATCACAGTGGGAGAGAATGTTTTGTCATCCGGATGAGGTATTGTTCAGTAGGTTTACTGATTATTATTCTAGAGTTCGGCTTTGGTTGATATGTTTGTCACGTACCACCTCGCTTAAAAAGATCCATTGAATCATTTCATCTGTAATGGTTACGGTACAAGCTGTTGGGGAATGACTTGTAATTTTATATCTCGGTATGCTTTTTGATGAAACCTGTTGCAACTTGTGTAGAGTAGGCAGAGGGATTTGGCGGAGAGGTGCTGAAACTCCCATGGCAGTGAAATGCGAGGATAGGAGCATTGAGGTTCGAGAAGGATCATGGTCATACATTGCTAATACAAGCTCCGTTGGTTATGCTCCTGGTAACTTCAGTTTGTACAATAATTGGTTTTCCTGGAGATCACAATTATTATGATAATGTGGGTATTTTTTTCCCTTTATGGTGCAGAAAAGATAGTGGGCACAGCAACAGTGATGAAAGATCAACAGGAGAATAAGGTAGTTTGGAGCTTATCAACAGGAGATACACTGGCAGTACGTTTGGGAGATGAACTCAGCTTTCAGTTGAAAAATGACAGCTCAGAAGAGGAGGTATGATCAGTACATTTAAGTAGGGGTTAGAGTGCATATGGATTGGTTCAAAAAAAAAAGAGTGCATATGGATTGTACTACCTCTGCACTGAAAAGAATGCAATTCTACTTCTATTCTTAGTCAAACTATTCTTAGCAACAGCGATGTTTTTTACACCAAATAGGTTATTATGGAAACATATTCCATGATGAATCTAATGATACTTATATGATATTATAAATATCAATATACCTATTATATAAACTTGGTCAAACTCTATATGGTTTGACTCGTACTGTGTTAGAATTAGAATTACATTCTTTTCAAGAGGGAGTAGTAAGCAAAGTACCATCATCGGTGCTCACCGCTGAAAGAACTGACATCACAAGAATCTTACTTGATTTCTATAGTAAACAAGTTTTTCTATACAATATACAAATGAGTGCATGCTGTAGAGTTCATCATTTTCCTTTACATGAACTTAATTTACACCAATATATTTGTTATTTAACTTTGTTCCTTAAAAGATATTAGTCTAGAATTTCATATAGATACATTCCTTAGCAAAGAGGTGCGCTGGTTAAACTGTAGAATAGCATTTGTATTGGTCCCTAAGTTTCAGTTTCATAGAATTTCCATTTAAATGTAATTCAAACATTCTGTTTTATTAAAATGTAAAATATCAGTTGGCTTACTACACTGTTGATATACTACTTCATTTTTGCACTGTTCTAAAAATTCACAAAGCCATTTCATGCCTTTTAATTGCACTACAATGTGCTCTTTACCAGGCAAGGCTGCTTGTCGGGAGGAGATTGAGCTACAGAGTAAACACTGATAATGCATCGAGCAACCTAGTTGAGGAGGAGCAATACATCACACTTGTTCGTAAGTCACCGGATCATCATGGTGACAGAGCAACCATGCTTCTAAACTGGAAATTACTTGCTGTGGAGTTCTTACCTGAAGAGGATGCAGTTTTTGTTCTTCTCCTATGCATGGTGATTGCGCAGACCATGACAGAGATCAGGAGAGAAGATGTGGCTGGGCTTTTAGTGCGACGGAGAATAAGTGAAGCAAGGGCAGGGCAGAGAGACTGGGGTTCGGTGATGCTTCCTGGCTCACTTTCGCCAGATCCTCATTTGCAGCCTTGGTACCGGAACGCAGCGCAGGTTTTGAGCTCTGTGGAGACAGGACCAATGCTCGCTAAGTACTCACCTGCTGATGGAAAGGACATGTTGTACAGGCAAGCTCTTATACCCTGAAGTCCTGATAGAGATTATTACCATCAGGACTTGCCTGATAGATAAAAAAACGCACCCAATCTTCCTGGGTATTGCAGGGAAATTATTTCATTTTCTCAATGCTATGACATAGGATCTTTGTACAGGACAAATTTTGTGTTTGAGCTGTTGTTTCACTAATGATGATGGGTCTTTGATACGAATCCAGTGATTGTTGTCATATATGGTTTGTACTGAGAATTTTCACATTTCATTTTAAAATGGTTTGATTCCTGTAGTTTGACAATGAAATAAAAGAAGAGCTTCTGTCCATTTGAACAAACTGATTATAGAGGACAAAGGATTCAAAATTTGATATCCAAAAAGGAGTCTGAATGTTCATCTCGTACATATTTCTTCAGAAAAAAAGAATCGCACAATTTTATAACAGAAACTACATCCCTCTATGGATGGTTCTTGTCAATCCAAGCTCGTAAACCATATAAAAAACCCTCAAATGTTCCAGAAATGTGCTACTTACAAGTGCCATTAAGTCCACAGCTGAGGCTTCATTATTAAAGCGGCTGCCGATTACAAACCTTGTTGTATGAGCTGCTGATTACGAACCTTGTTCTTGTATGCATTAGCAGCAGGACCATAAGAATGTAAGATTAAACATCAAAATCCTTCGATGTGTGATTGTGATTTATGCGCTGGGCTGTCACTGCCGCTCCAGCCAGCTTTGATTGCCTCTATTGCTTTTTGTATCTCCAGAGTCATTGCACTGTCTACGCTCCCAGAGGATATCTTCTTGTGCGCCTTCTGCAAGTGGAGCTTCAGTGAGCTGCTGCTGAGACCAGCATTCTTGCCACAGATGGGACACACCTTCATTGCTGGCCTCTTGTGTTGCCATTCCATGGAGATTTTCCCGTGCAGTTTCTTGTCAAGATCCAGCAAGACCTTAGCAAACCCATCATTGGGATGCGCACGTCGGTGGACCTTCTTCAGCATGTTCCATGCTTCCAGGAGAGTACAATTTCTTAAGAAAAAAAGGGAAAATTATGCGATGATGACCACGTCCAGGACAATAAATAAAGGAAAGATGCAATCTTTCTATCCTTACAGATGTCATTTCTGGATTGATAGACCATAAGGTCACAAAAAAAAAAGGTAAATCTGGTAATAAGTTGTTTCAGTCATGGCAAGTTATTGATTTTAACAGAGAATGATGACATAGTAATTACTGTGCAGTCTTACTTCCTCAGCATCAGGTAGGCAAGAACAACAGTCGCACTACGACTTTTTCCCTCAAAGCAATGCACAAGTACTTTGCCACGCAAGTGGTCCACGTAATCGATGAAATCAGAACCATCTTGAAAGAGATCACCAATGTCTGCATTGTCATCATCCTTTATCTATATAAAGAAGCAATTAAGCATTGAAAGATATCTAAACTGGGTCTTCTGGCTTATGCTAAAGGAAAATAATTTTCCATCCATGGAGATATTAGAACTCACCGAGAAATTCCTATACTCAAAAAGGTCAGGCTTCTGTGATTCTGACTGTCCAATTTCATTTGCACACAAGCACAATATATGGGTGATGCCAAGGTGCTTAAGTGTGTGTGTTGATCGAGCAGCTAGAGCACCACCAATATACAGGTAATCTGTGATCTGTGATGGACGCTCAGTGCTTGCAGCATCAGAGATCAAAGATATCCTCTCGAGAATGTGCTCAAGTCGAACCTAACAACAAAATTGCTTGATAGGTTCCATTAATGAGTATACAAGTAGTTAGTACAGAGGGTACACTTAGATTTACCTTCAATTCGTAAGCATCAACAGCAGTGCTATTATCAGTGCCTTCAAAAAAGCCTGTGTGAAAATTGTTATCTTGACACAACTTTACTACTTCAGTCCTCAGCGTGTCATTCCATTGTTCTATCTCTTTGCTTAATTCACTGTCTACCTGTAAAAGTTTGTTGAATGACTAATAGAATCGTGTGATAAACTTGACTGACTTATGCAAAACACCATAGCAGACTAGTAGTCAAATTAACTAAATAGTCGTCTGACCATATGTACCTGAAACAAAACTTTGGTTAGTATGCAAGTTGCATGCTGAAATCATGAAGCCCTTTAGCTATTTGGTCTCCTACAACTAAATTATGTTTTGTGATATATTCAGGAAAAAATAGTGGAACAATCTATAAGAGTGAAAAAAAAACAGCTAGATGTCAACTAGGCACCTACGTCATACATTTTATAATAGACAAATTATCCATCCACACTTCAAAGGTCTTAACCTTGGCATACTTGTTAAAATCTCGCAGCTTCATTGTCAACCGAAGACCACGGGAGGCATCACCATTTCCTTTGAAATGTTTGCTGATAAAGCTCTCTCGACAGGAAGGAGATGATAGGTCTAGATTGTCACGGGATAAGGTTCGGGAAGGCTTACGCAGATTCCTTGGAACATCAGTATCATTTGAATCTGCTTGTGATTCCACTGAACACAATGGTGAATCAGAAGTACCAGCATCCTCCCTAGCATATTCATTGGAGCATTTATACATAAGATTGAAGAAAATTTTCAATAGACCATCCAGTTTCTGGTAGAGTGTGATGAGGAAAATGTGAAATCGCTGAAGGTCTCTCAGAGCACTACGAAAACCTCCTCGGAATGAATGCACTGTTGCTACCATATCACTCTCAGAGAGAGGAGAATTATAGCTATAATCAGACGATACATCAAATTCTTCATGTCCTGGGATGCCAAGTTTTCCGAAGGACACCTCAAACAGAAGTTTGGAAGAATAGTCGAGGTTGTTCAGTGTTAATTCCACTAGTTTGGGGTAGCTCTCCTGATCTTTTGCCCGCTTACTGGCAGGTGGCCTGCGTGGTACACCTGAATCAATGGCTACAATATTAAAGCTAGAAAACTCATGTCCACTAGAAGCATAAGAGTCCTCCAATATGAGGTCACAGACATCTGAGCCGATACTGCCACTAATTGAAACAGCTCTTCTCTGCTTCTGTTTCTGAGGGCTTCTGATGATCTCTGGCTTGTATCGAATGATAGCAGAATCATAAACATCATCTAGCGAGTCAAGGTTTGCATAAGCTTCCCTGTTGGCGACAAGTAGATTTGCATAATTTCCACGCCAGCCAAGGGGACGGCATCGCAGTCTATCCTCATTCCTCAATACGAGGTCCAGGATTAAGACCCTACCTAATGCTTCAGCAGTTTTTTCAGCAGCTTGCCGTGACTCAAATGACATTACATTCTCTAGCAGAGGGGAGCCATGTACATAACTGCAAAACAGCAAGACATTTGTTTTTTGTTATAATTAATAAGCACTATTTTGATAAGTACATTACTGGCAAGTGGTGTTTATATATACTTCATCAGAAATAGGCAACGGCTCAATTCAAGGGCTTCTAGCATCTCGGCGCAAATCATCTCCTCAAGTTCATCACCAGCAGCTATTGATGCATGTCGAGCATTTTCAACTGCATCCTTGATTTGTTGCCATTCAGACGAGGAGCTATGAATGACTCTTCCCTATATGGGTCAATAGAGTTGTCAGTGCAACATTTTAGTTAGCGTGAGTGCCTGCTAGCATAGTGGATTCTTACTTGAGGAGTTCTCACTCCAAGCCATTTAGCGAGTTCGTACCCAAAGCGTTCGGATTGTGTGGCCATCCTTGAAGGTGCTATTTTAATGACTGCAGCTGTTTCCTTGGATGGAAGGTCAACATGTTCAATAGCTTTGAATAAAGCAATAAAAACAACGCCCCCCGAATTTACTGTCACCTAAGCAAAATAGTACAGTCATTAGAAGGACCTAGAGACATGGTTTGTAAAATTAATTCTAATATACATATTCATATAAGATAGCCTACACCTTTAATACCAATATTTCTCCAACTGTAAAAAAGTAATTTGCAAAAACATGGATGGAACAAATGAAAACCTCAAAACTTCTGCTAACGTCATCCTCAGATGGATCAGTACTTGTAGCCGTATGTTTTGTATGGTGCAGTGAGGTGAGAGAGCTCCAACTGAAGTTACTTGACTCAATATCCATCATGGAAACCCTCCCAAGCCTCTCCCAAAGGATTCCTTCTGGCACTTGGTCACAAGGGTCAGGGTCAATGACATTGCTATCAGGATCTGCAAGTTCTAGTACTTCTGAACTGCAATATAGTAAGAGCAACATTAATACTATCAGTTACTGAAACAAAAAGTATGATCTGCCCTGACAAACCCGTCCCCATCCTATGAAGAAACAAATTATACTCATGGTACAAATCATTTGGATACAAATGTGTATTTTCAATTTACTATCGAACAGTAAGTATCAGTTTCGGGCTTTGGGATGAAAAGAAGTTAACATGGTCACACTGTACAAAGTTCACGATGCTTGATTAAATATATGAACGTAAGCTGTTTCAGCATACCAACAACAGGTGCTGGCACCGCTCATAAATCAAACATTGAAATTTTGATGAAATTCAGGCACGTGAAAGATTGTCAAAAAGTAATAAAAAACTTAATAGTTGTACAAGTCATAAAAATTCATCGTCTGACTTAATGCATCAGAACTTCAGAAGAGGAATTATGCAAAAAGAAATTTATCAGATCCACATCCAAATGCGTGGCTGAGCATGGAAAGAAGGAGCTGTTCTTTCGCCACCAGGTGGATCACAGGAACTGAAGAGCGAGACGAAGTGGCGGTACCTGGCTGATGAACGGAGACCCAGACGCCCGCACGAGGCGGCCTTCCCATTGCGTTTCCTCACCAATGCCACCCACTCCTCGAACCCACCCTGCAGGAATTCATCGAGATCAAGAAAGTGTTGCCCTTCTACTTCCAAGAAAAGGGGACGGGAACCAAATCAAATCAACTTTTGTTTAAATCGCGATGAGCTTACGAAGGAGGAAGAGCGGGAGAATGATCCGGATTCCGTGGTCCCCTCTTCCATTGCAACTCAAGGGAGATCCCACCGAGTGTGCGATTGAAGGTTGGATTGATCAAGG